TTCAGCTCGTGGTAAGCTCAATTTGACACTCCATAGTCTAGTGTTGATAGACTTAGTTTTTAATAATAAGATTTGATGTATTTAATGACAACTATAATTATAATAACCAAATTATAAACTTAGCTAAATTAATTTTAAATTGATAACTTTAATTACTAAAGTTTTAAAGTCTAATTTTTAATTAGTAATGAAAACTTTGATAATTAATAGAGATTGATTTAAATTTTTAATTCAAAAATTAATTTAACTAAAATAACTTCAAATTTAATCGATATAATAATTAAATATATTTTGTTTTTAAATCAATATATATTTAATAAATTTATTATAATTTACTTGAACTCATAATCAATGTAACTCCTAAATAGTTTCATTTCCATATTAAACAGTCTCTTCACAGTGTTTCAGAAGTTTGATAAGATTGCACAATGATTTTTTATTTATTTTGTTATGCTTCATTAAATAGACTCGTGTTTAGAGTGAAGTCATCAATAATGGTAGGAAAAATAATGTGAACCATTGTGAAATTATACATTGTTTGGACTTGTAATATATGTCACAACAACATTCAACAATATTATTCAGATGTAAACTACAACTAAGAAAATGGCAAACTTGCTGGAGGACTCTACATCTACTTGAGTGTCAAAGAGTCGTTATATCGATCCTCTTGAGCCGTGGCAAATGAAAAACCTGATGTTTAACTCTTCAACACAAAACCCCATAGATGACCTAATCCAATTGCAATTGTTCTTCTCTTCGTGATTTGGTCCTGCATCGCAAGTTTTATCATAACTCACGTTATTCAAATCTTATCAATATGTGAATTGAGATTAAATTGCTATGAAAATGAATAGAATATTTTTCGAAACAACGTTTTTAATTATCAAGATTCATGTCCCCAATTGTTCTACTAGTATGGCTTTTATCCATCCAACGAATAAGAGGTACATGCACCTGAACCAATAGCTATTCTAAGAATTCAAATTATGTAATCATATATTAGTAAAACATTGTAATTATTACATATTTGTAGTTACTCTAAGTTCTGTTCGAGTAGGCAATAGTAACTTTCTCTTCTTTTTTTTTCTACGCATGGACAATATTAAACCTAATATTTATTGTGAATATTAATTCAAGATTACTCCAAGTTAAAGGCCAGGTGGATATGAAATCAAATAGTCTCAGTTTCTACACTGAAATCCTAGTCTTTTCTCTCAGTCCCTACGTCATCACTATTGCATACACAATAGATCTTAATTAATTGTTGACGAATCCTAACAAGGAAGCTGAATGATATTGTTATGAATTGAGTATTTATAGGTTTAGAATATACTTTTTATTTAAATTTTTCATATTCATAATAATATTTAGTATTTTGCCAAAAACAAATGTTTAAACCAAATATCCAAACTAATACAAATATATGCTAAATCCAAACTAACATAAATATATTCTTAAATAAAATATCTAAATTAATATTTAAATTTAATATTTAATTTTATCTAATAAAATTCCCTTAAAATTAAATGTTTATCTTCAATTAATTGAGATTAATCAAAAATCGATCCAATCGACTTTAATGCTTCTTTCATCCTTCATCTCGGAGTCTGACTTGTTGTCAATCCTTCTTCTCTTCTTCTTAAATGTTTTTTTACACTAATAGGTTTGGTATAACTTGACAATTCAATCATCGTCCACGCATTCTATAATTCGGATCTTCTCGTTCATAATAACTCCCTTTTTAATATTTTCTCTACATTTTTCAACCCCTATATATTTTCGCTCTTTTGGACTCACCTTTCTAGGCTTGTATCTCAAAGTAGTTTTATTCTTAAAAGAATACAATGATGAATGAGCTCAGACATGATCGCTTCAGAATCTACTGCTCAGACTTAGCCCGACCAAGTTCAACTTCAGATTGGAAAAAGTGGAAAATTCATAATCTACTGACTCTATTGTTTCTTCCTATAATTTGTTCATCATTAGATCTTAGTTTTCATCATGACCAACATCATGACTAGATTGATGATCCCTCTTCAACAAGTCTTCTACGTTAAGCTTCAAGCATCTCTCACGAATGATTCTCAAGTTCAACTTATACATTTGGTTCTTCTCTATCTTAACTCGAACAATCAACTTTTCAAGTTTGTCCTTTAATTATAGAACTCAATCTCTCACGAATGCTAAGTATCCCTTCTCCATAAGTTGTCTCATACTCAAAAGATTACTCTTGAGATCTGGAACATAATACACATTTCGGATTAAACTAACTAGTTCATCTCTCTGCAAGTAAATGATCATACCCCAGCCTTTTACCGAGACCTTTGAAACATCTCCAACAAACACATGACTACCTCAACATTTCCAATTCCCTGAATAAGTGTTCGTCCTTGCACATGCGGTTACTTGCACCTGTATCTAGATACCATACCGAGTCATCATTGTTACCTCCATGTCCTTTTAAGTTGTAATCTACTCCCATGTTGTTGAGTTGATAAAAATATTACATCTTAAAAAGTTCCACATCACATTTGATAAATAATGAAGTGGGTGATAGTAACTATATAATGGGCTTAAAATCCATGAGGTTTCTCACCCCAGTCAAAGACACTTTAAGCTTGTATTTGACTTTTCTTATCCTCTTGTAGTAGAGTGTTGTGAGGTTTAGTTTAAATTCTTGTTTTGGATAATGTATGTGTACTTGGGGTCAAGGGCATGAGAGAGTTGTCTATGTGTTTGAAAAAAATTTCATATAGTGTTATTCTTTGGTTATCATTAGATAACGGTCATGATTTTTCTTCGATTTTTGGAGTTTCCACGTTATATTTTTGTGTTGACTGTTTTTCTCTTATTTCTCTATTAGTAGGGTAATTCTCAAGGATAAATGGTTATGTTCTTTATGATATTTTTTCCCATCACATGTGTACTACTGAGTTATAATTGACATTCTTGTAATTTGTCGAGTTATGATTAGTCATTAACACTAAAGGTTCCAACTTCCACATCATAAGGTTCCAACTTCCACATCTTCTATGATGTTGGTTGTATCTTCCACCTTTTTATCAACTCGTCATTCTTTAGCAAAATATCTAATCTTACAATAATTGTAATACTTTTCCAAGTAAAAATCATTTGTATAGTGACCATATCTTTCATACTTAAAGAACTCGATATTATAGGTTGGTGATCGACCTCCTATCCAACCACATCCTTCATCATGCCAGTTTTGTTAGTTTCCTTTTTTCTCCTCACTATCTTTATCACCTCCGTCTCAACAATTACATTCTCATCCTTTACCTCGAGTATTATGAGAATAGAGAATTCTCTCTTCTTTCACAGTTGTCTCATTTTGGAGCGCTTGAATTATTGTCCTCTCCTTCTTTTTCTTCCTCTGATACTCATGTACTTCAAGAGAACTACCCAACTCTTGTATCATGAGTTCAGACAGGTCCTTTGATTCCTCTATTACATACATTACATTCTCAAAATCATTGGTTAACAATCTCAAGATCTCTCCACAATTCAAACTTTAGAAAGCAGCTCTCCATTTTGATTAACCTGGTTCACCATGATTTTGATACGTGTGATGTATTTGAAAACTCCTTTTGACTCCTTCATTCGCATGCTCGTCATCTCGCCATGTAGTATTTAGAGCTGAACTTATTTGTCTCGATCATCGCCCTTGTATATTCTCTCCAACACATCTCATGCTTCTTTTGAAGTTTTAACACTTATTATCTTTTCAAACTCAAATTCATCAATAGCTCAGTACAATATGTACAAGGTTGTCTTATCCTTCGCACATTTCTCTTTTAACACTTTGTTTGCGTTGTTGAAATTCTCTCAGTGTTTTTTAGTTCTTCAAAATTATCATCAACTATCTCTCAATTATTTTGAGATCCAAGAATAACTTTCATCTAGAGACTTCAATTATCATAGTTAATTGTTTATTAAACTAGTCATCACTCTCTTTTAAGTTCTCTCACATTCTCTTCAAACTCAAGTTTTTAGTACCAATTTGATAACAAATATATTGATAAACCTAAATATTATTGCTTTATATATTATGAAAATTAAATGATACAATCGGATATTTATAGGTTCATGATGAGTTTTTTGTTTTAACTTCTAAAATTCATAATCCCTTATATTTTGTCTAAATTATCTACATAAACAAAATATTTAAACTAACATTAATATTTGCTTAAACAAAATATATAAACTAACATTTACACTTAATATTTATTTTTATCCAAAAAAATCATTGATGCGCGGTTTAACTAGTGCCAAACAGGAACAATAGAAAACTTTGTTCCCCCTTTACATCTTCTTAACTCTTGCCATCAAACTAAAAAAGTTTTTAACAAAAATTGCTTAAAAATAAAATTAAATATTTTATTATGAATCTTACAATTAAATTATATAAAACTTGATCAGAATTATTTATATAAACAAATTTTTTTCTAATTTTAAGTAATTTTTTTATTTTTAAATAATTCAAACATAAAATTTACAATAAATATTTATTTCATTCTTAAACAACTTTAGATTACAACTATATTTATTTAAAGATGATATAAGTAAGTTAAACAAACTAGCTCTACAATAATAGGGCCCACTGGGCCAGGTGGGATGGGATGCCATGCCCACCCTAAAATTTTTGTTTCACTTTTAAATGTTACCACACCTCATTCCGTAATTGGTAATTAATATAGGTTATAAAGAAACACTTAATCTCCTAATCGGTAATTAATATGGTACAAAAAAGAGTTAATCAAGTCCAGCAATCTAGGTTATATTTTGGATTTTCGTTTTTAAGACAGTGAAAACTCAGTTTGAAAAATACACTTCCTTTTTCTAATGATTGATCAATGGCATATTTTTATGTTGTCTGATTAGATAATAAAAAAAAAAGTTATTCTAAAACTATTGCTACCTTTGAATGAAGGTAAGAAAAAAGCAGAGACAAATGAAAGGATGGGAAACCTAGTATGTGCTCAGTTGAGCTTGAAGCCGTCGAAACTCTGGGATCCTTTTCCTTTATTGTTGAAGGAGTGGAGGGTTCCGTGGTTGGCCACATGGTCTCGTTTCCAGGGAAAAACAGATTTACTCAGTTGGCTAGATTTGTCAGCAGAGTGAATCTTAGCACCCGTGAAAGTTTGGGAGCCTGATCCGAGGTTGTTGAAGGAATCTCCAGCTGCAGGAGTCTTGATCTCGGCGTGGGTGAAATCTTGTAATCCGCCGCCGCAGTTGTTGAAGGACTGAACAGTTCCAGAGAAGCGGGGGAAGTGATTTGGAGTGGGGCGTGGATTGTTGGGGAGGGAGATGGTGGCGGTAACAGAAGGGGCGGAGACATTGATGATGTGGTGGTTATTCTCTGCGTGGGTGTCGTCTTGGGTAGAGTTTCTGTTGTTGGTTGTGCCACGCTTGTCATTGCTCCCATATGCCATCCTGCTTATTTCCTTGATTGATTCGATGGTAAGTGAGATTAGGGATTTGATTTTCCTTTGCGATGCAATGGATCTAAACCATGGGAAATGCAGACCATCTATGACACACAGAATGGGAATACGAACTATATTGCAGGCTTTCAAGGAAAGTATCGATAACTTTATTTTTTTAAAATATATTTTTATGCAATAATTATGATAAATCCAAGAATAATTAAAATATTTTATTTAATTTTGTTAGCTATTAATTACTCTATTAAAAGTTTCTTTAATGTTGGAGAAATCTATAATTTTTTTCTCAAATATGAATTATTAAGTGACCTATATGTTTATATGAATGGATATATAAATAAACATAAGTGTCATTCGATATTTTGTGAAAATAATTCATTTATACACTCGTCAAAATATATTGAAAGACATTTTGTAAATCTAATTATACACATGTAATGATTATTTATGAAATTAATTTTTTATAGAATTAAAGTCATATATATTAGTATTATATCATTTAATTTTTATAGTATAAAATTAACTATTTTGTTTTACGATTAAAAATTTAATATAGTAATTAATATTATATTAAAATCAAATAAAATATTTTAATTATATTAAATATATAAATAACTACAATGATTATTATAAGAAAAAATATTTTATATTTTTAATCAACGAAGAAAAATATTTGAAAATCTTAGCGTAATATACCTAGAAAAACATATGTCAAATAAAAAAACTTGTAATATTATAATAAATAAATATTACAGAATCATGCTAGGTTATCACTTAAACAGGTGGATTTTCCATTAAAATATCAAATTAAAAAAGTAAAAATACAAATATAAACTCATATGTTTAAAAATATTTTTTTATTTATAAAATATCTTATTTATGAAAATATATTTTTAGAATATATTACTTCAATTCTTACAAAATATAAACATGATTTTATTTCAAAATTTTGAATTACATTAAAAAATTGTTGGTATTTTTTATTTTTTTATTACATTAAAAAATTATTAATAAAACATATAAAAATAACAATATGACATAATATTTAAAATTTTATCATTATAAAATGTTTTATTTATTAAAATGATTATTTTAATTTAATTTTTATAAAATTTAAATATAATTTTTTCTAGTTTTTTTAATTCCATTAATATATGAATTACGTTACACACCAAATTTGTAGATCGCGAATAAAAATCGAATCTAAATTTTCATAGAAAATTTACTTATAATTTCTCTTGGTATACATATACTTAATATTATGTGAAAAAGTAAGTAAAGATATTTTATAAATAACCGTAGAATACAAATGTAATTTGTTAGCATTCAAGTGGTGGTATATATATATATATATATATATAGTGCATGATATAATTGCTTATTTTTTATTAAAAAAAAGGGAAGTTGCGCATTATCTTTTATAAAATGACAAGTTGATTAAATAGTATTTAATTGTACTTTTCTACTCGCTATTCCCAATAAAAACTTGAACCAAAAAAGGTCCTTCTTTGTTTAATGTTTCTTCTTTATTGTAGAATGCGTACCAGACAAGACTCATCAAGCAACTTTTATGAAGTCCAAAAAATGACCATATTTTAAACCATTGAAAGTTTTTACTCAGGCATGCATCAAAATCATGGTAGGTGTGGTAGCACGATTAAAAATATCAAAAATAGTGATGAGTTTTGTGAAAATTAAATCACGCGTCATGATGGCCTTTATGAATAAAATTAATGGCAGATGTAGATTTATTTTGTAATGGATTTTCGTATTTAAAACACCTATCATAGATAATTTTTCATAATATAATATATAAATGATTTGAACAAGTTTTAGATCTATTACTGATTTTTAATTTGAATACACAATATTTATTAAAATTGAATGTTTTATAATTTTCAAAAGCGATGATTTAATGTTCATGAAAAAAAATACTTTTTTTATATTATGTTGACTCTTTTAATTAATTTTCAAATCATTTTAGATTTCCTTTTATTTCAATTTATTATTATTATTATTGCTTCTGTTATTATTGTTGTTGTTATGGTTGTTGGTTTATATGATAATGTATTCTGTCAAATGAAACCTACATATAATTTTCAACATTTTAGATAATATGATATTTATACCTATGCATTATAGTTTATACAAATGATAAAAAGAGTCTTAAATTAAAATTTTAAATTTATTAGGTTTCTAATTTATAAAAATAATAATATTCGTACACAAAACCAAAATTGGTCAAGTGTTGAAATCCTAAAACTTATTTAAGCTTTCAAAATTGCTCTTATGACAAATAGTGCAATAAAAAAATCTTTTTTTTTCTTTTCAAAGAAATGCAACAAAATAAATGTGAAATATTTAGTTTATATATATGTGTAAGATTTTTGTCCCACCAAAACGGTAAGTCACAAACTCTGTCCCATAATAAAAATAAAATATTGTGAAGCTTTTATGAAGGTTATTTTATACTTTACAAAAAAAATTCAAATTATATTTTTAACAAATATTATTATAGATAAATTCTCTTTAAAATATTTTATAATATTATGATATTTTATTAATTTTATAATTATATATAACCAGACAATACCCTTATTAATTTTATAATTTTATTCTCTTATTTATTGGAAACTTACAAATAAAAGTATACAAATAGATTTTAAAATATGTCCAAACTAAAAAAAATATTATATAAGGTATAATATAATGTTAAAGATAACGTCTACACTTATATTGATATTGTAGATAGTCAATTTCTTAATTTTGCTTTTTTTCATATTTTTTTAGTTAAAATGATAATATAAATATATTTTGTTTTCTTGTACATCATCGTTTTTCATTAATTATTTATTGTAATAATCTAGGAAGTCTTATATTTTATGAAAATTTTATTTAGAACATTCGTTGTTGACGACTGTTATTGTTTAAAATGATTTTATTTGAATGATAAGAGTTGAGAAATCTTTGAGACAAATTAGCCATGTTGAGATCAATTGGTTTAAGATGACAATTATCCATTTCATAAAGATGACGAGGGCGTTGGTATTTATAACTTTTATGCAGTGATAATTTTCAAAAGTTTCCTAAATATAAACCTCATTTCTTAATAGGATTCTGAAAATAAAAACAATCGATTATGAAGATGGAGGTTAAAGTCTTATGGAACTCATAAAAAAAAATTCTCTTTATTTTTCAAAATCTAAAATCTTTCTTTAATTTTTTTTCCCTCCACCGTCATAATAAAGAAAACAATTCTAACATTCTCCAAGAAAAGAAAACCTTTTTTATAAGGATCTATGAGCATCTAATAAGTCATGTTGATTCTTAAAACATTGGAATAGAACATTTAATAGTATTGCATCATATTAATCAAAGAGTTGATTCGTAAAGATCTCATCTGAATTCTCAAAATAATTAAAAAATTCATTGAAATTTTTTTTAGACCAATGGCATAACAACATTTATACTTCATTTTAATGTATGAAGTAAAAACGAAGGGACTTATCATAAATATCTTGGTGTCAGTCCAAGATAATAGACTTTTCACAGTTTTCCTTTGTTAAGATGAGAGGAAATGGTATGTAACTGTGATTATTTGAACAATCTTTAGAGGTCTTTGATTGAATATCTATAATAAGATTTTATTTCCTTTCATATGTTTAAAAAAAAATCATACCTAAAAAATCAATCAATCTTTAAATTTAAGAGTTCATAAATATTGAGGAATCTTATTTTTGAAATTTAAGATATATGAGAAAAAGGAGTTATGTATTAGCACTTTGTTAAGATTTCTTTATAAGAATAAAACTTGTTTCTGTATATCTATTAATATATTAAAAAATTAAAATTACGTAATTCTTGGTTGAAAATATATGTCATTTAATTTTTTAACTTTTAATTTTATAAAATTCGTGAATTTTGATCGACAAGTTTATATATTCTTAACATAGAAATTAATAAAGATATACTCCTAATTTATTTATTTTTATTCTCATTTTTTATTAAATTAGAGACTTTAAATATTGCATATTAAAGTCAGTTAGTTTGTTAATAATTAGTAAGGATTACTATTTAGAATAATAATAATTCAATTTCGTTCAGTTAGTTGATTTTTTTCCTTTGATTAGGGTTCCTACTTATCATATATAAAAGATTTTCTTCTCTCTTTATAAAGCTAATCAACACATAATAAATAAAATATAGATAGTTCTGGATTACCTGGTTAATCATATCCTAGAGTGTTGTATTGCTTATATCTTCTACCACGAGTTATCTTCCTCTTTTGCGATGTTGGAGTTCTCGTTCCCTTTTGCTTTCTCTCTAAGCCTCTGTGGCTTGGTTTCTTCCTTGCATTTTCAGCACAACATTTTTCTCTTTCTTCATCTTTAAAGTTGTGGGTCCCTCATCATGGTATCAAGAGCAATTATTTGCTTCTACTGTAACCTACTCTGATCATCTTCATCAATCTTGCTGATCTTCTTGGCCACTAGCCCAATGGATCAATCTTTAAATCCCTCTAGCCCTTTTTACCTTCATCCCGGAGAAAACCCAGGTCTTGTATTAATTTCTCAAACTTTAAATGAATCTAACTACTTATCATGGAGCAGAAATATGAAGAGAGCCCTACTCTCCAAAAACAAATTGAAATTTATTGATGGAGGAATAAAAAGGCCGCAAAGAAATGACCCTTTGTATGATGCATGGTAAAGATACAATATGATGATTCTGTCTTAGATTATGAAGACCCTTTCAACCCAGATTACAAAAAGTGTCATATATGTTGAAGATGCTAAAGAACTCTAGAAAGAATTAAGGGAGAGATTCTCCAAAGGAGACTATTTCAAGATTTCATACCTGTTGCAAGAAATTCATTCCATAAAGCAAGGTGAACGTAATATTACCCAATTTTTTTACAGATTTAAAAATCCTATGGGAAGAGCTTGAATATTTTAGATACATTCCTTTATGCACTTGCAATACTCCCT